TTTTATATTTCCTTTCACTAAGTGGATTCTATCCTCTCTATTTTTAATCATTTTTCCATATTGATTCCCTCATACCCTGAATGACTCTAAGCAGCATTCTGAAAATTTATTCCTGCAGTAGTCCATGCCTGCTTCTTCTATATAAGAATCTAAATTTAGATTCTCTTCAGACATTGTGGCTTGTTTCTCTTGGTTTCTTGTGGTGACTGCTGATGTGGGTAGTAGTTTATGTGGCATTTTGGTGTCGCTGGATTGGTACTTTATGTGAGGTGTGTATCGCACTGAGGACGGGGCTGGCCAGGTCCTGGCAGGGTATCTGGCTGCAAGCTACACTGCTGCTTGCACACCTGAATGGAGGTGCAATGCAAGGCAGAGCCGTGAGAATGGTCAGCTCTACATGCTGGGATAGAGACCGAGTGTATCACAAGACTTGAGCAAGCATCATTGACCCCTCAATCAGCTTCCCAACCTCTCTATCTTGCACAGTGCTATGAAAGCAGTCTCTCTTACACTGGCACCATTTTATGAGAAGTCTCCTTTCTTGTCTTTGACCTTTTAAATGCCCTATCTCTCCTTCCCCTCTTTCTTTCCTACTATTTTATAACTTTAACCTCAAGCATCTTATCTTGTCTCTTGAAAGACAAACCAAACTCAACCAAATTCACTGCCATCAAGTTCATGCTGACCCTTAGAAACCCCATAAACAGGGTAGAACTACCCTGGTGAATTTCCAAGATTGTATCTTTTCACAGGAGGAGAAAGCCCTGTTTTTCTTTTCTCCAGCTGTTGGTGGTTTTTAACTTCTGACCTTGCAATTATCAGCCCCAAACAACCACTAACCACATGGCTACTTAAAAAATTTTAATATTACATCTTTATATTAAAGTCTTAGTATTCTTTCTAAACATGATGATCCACTTCATGGTATTCCACCAGAATAACATAGTTTTCTGAAAAAGGAAAGTAGAGAGTTGGGACTTCCTTTTCTGCAGAGGGACCATTTCCTAATTTCTTGGTGTTTGCTGCTTTCTGGTGTCTTAATCAGAAAACTCTGAATAGTGTTACTGTGACATCATAGAGATTTTTTTTTCTTCCTAGATAACAGGATTGGAAATGACTTCTACACAGCATCAGGATTCTTCCTTGAAAATAAAGAGGCAATCTGAAAGGATGATTCCTGGATCTCTAAATGTCTCACAGAATTAGCACCCAGAGGGGAGGTCTTGGATCCTAAGCAAGGGACCAATTAACAATGTTTGTCTCTCCTCTATTACTCGAGAGATTAATTATTTACAGCCTGTGTGTTTTTATTTGCCTCTTCTTTTGTGCGATTTGATTTGTTCTCTCAAATCCTTTTTAAAATGTGATAGAGAAAGTTCATAAGCAATTAAGGCCTTCTGTTTTCATAGCTGGGTCATTTCTGAAGAAGACTAATTCCAACATTGCTACCAATAGGCTCTGTGCACCTTTGAAAGTATTTATGGAATAGGAAGCTCTCAGAAGCTGTAATTTGAAATTTCTGTTCTCATCAAGCTGAGTACCTGATATATCACAAAGTAAAAGGATTTTGAACTCTTTCTTGGAAAGCTTGGGTAAGTTACAGTGGGCCTGTTATCTAAGGAATGCAAAAAATTTAGGCAATATCTGCAGATTTACAAATAACTCAGTATCATTGCTGCCTTGAATAAAAAGTTCCTAGGAAGCTCTGGGGATTCTTTTGAACTGAAAAGTAAACCTATAGAAAGAAGACTATAAAATATATGCTGAGTCATATAAACCTTAGCAGGAAGGGGGCTAGAAAATATACTACTTTTTATTGATGGTTCAAACACATTGGAAAACACAGTCCCAGATAAGTGTGGATTATCATTGAGAGGCCTCTATATCTGATTTGTTTAATTTAAAGAGTCATATTTAAACTGTCAACAGGTCACTGTCAGGGAAGGATTTCAGAGTGAGTAGATCAAAGGGGTATTGATTAGCATGTCAAGTTATGGAATCAGAAGCAACTATAGCAAACCTCAAAACCATGACGTTGATTTCGATTCATGGGGACTCTGTGTGATGGAGTAGAACTATCCCTCTGGTTTACAAGACTATAAATATTTTCAGGAGCAGAGAGTCTCATCTTTGGAGAGCAGCTGGTGGAGACAAACGGCTGACCTTTCAGTTTGCCATCCAACCTTTGACCCATGGTTGTTGTTCATTATTAATGAGTTGGTTTTGACCCATAGCGACCTCATGCACAGCGGAGCAAAATAGTGCCCACTCCTGTGCCATCTTCACAATTATTCCTTTGCTTGAGCCCTTTGTTGCAGCCACTGTGTCAATCCATCTCGTTGAAGACCTCCCTTCTTTTACTCCCCCTCCACATTACCAAACATCATGTCCTTCCTTGGAATTGTTTTCTCCGGATAATATGCCCAAAGTATGTGAGAGAGGCCTTACTATTCTTATTTGTAAGAAGCATTCTGCCATAATTCTTCCAAGAAATTTTTTTTGTCCTTTTAGCAGTCCATCATACTTTGCATATTTTTTTCCAGCACCATAATTCAAATGCATCTATTCTTCTTTGGTCTTCCTTATTCAATGTCCAACTTTCACATGCATAAGAGGCATTGTAAAATACTATGACTTGGGTCAAGTTTCTTAGTCCTCAAAGTAACAGCCTTGCTTTTCAACACTCTTAAGAGGTCTTGTGCAGCAAATTTACCCAATGAAACACCAGAAACCATCAGTAAAGAATAAACGCAAAACTAGGTCTTCCGAAAGGATAAATTCTCATTGATACAGGTGGATTCTATTTAGATTTACTTTTCTGTTCTACCTGTATGTTAAATTTTATAAAAATCAACTGATCTCCATTAATATGCTAGACATATAACAGAGCAAAAATAAATGTTAGGAAGAACCTCCAGTAAATATATGAAAAGAGAAACATGTCAAAGGGGCCACATTTTTCTGATCTCTTTCCATTTACTGTTTAATATACTAAGGATAAAGTGGAGTAGAGCATATGGATAGGGTTATTATGTCAAAATCCTGTGAAAAAAGCCAAAGCAATAGATTCATGACAAGCTCTGTATCAAGATAAACTCTGTCCTAAAACAAGAAGAAAGCTAAGGAGTGTGATAAACAAGACATAATAAAAATGGGTTTTAATTAGAAATGAAAGTCTCTGGAGTTATGGAGATAAACAAGGCAACAGTGAAAAGGTGTCTCTCCAATTAATGATGACGTCACTGGTTTAACATGGTTCTCTGCCTATGGTAGATTTGCTGTGGTGATTTTAATCCTGGACATTTGTGGACATAGTCTTTGTAATGGTTATCATTCTAAAAAATGAGGCGATGTCTCAGTGCCTCAGTAATTTACATATTATAAACACTGTTTTTTTCATTTCTTCTTCCTGAGAGTAAATTTTCCACCTGGTTGTCTCATTTCTTTGGTAATCAGTGCGCATTACTGTTTTCCTATTCAATTACTGAAAGAATATTTATCTGAAGAGATGGGATGATTGTGTTATTGGCTGATTTGCCAGTATGTTGCAGTTTTCCCTATTTTTGTACATTAATGTCTCTGAAAGAGGCTCAGTCATTCCAGTGACTTTTTGTCAAAAATCCTTCCTAAGAATATGCAAGAGTCTTCCTAGATCCATTACTTCCAACCTCCTCTAGTCAGATTGCCCACAGAATGTGATCATTATCTATGCCTCTTTTCTTGTGTTAATCATATTTATGGGCACATTTATCACTTATCTTCCTGGAGATACACTATTTTCTGTCTCATTTGCATCCCCCAAATCACAAAATATAGCATTTTGAACATCAGAGTTGATTAAAAATAAGAATAATGAAGAAACGGATACCTTTTTTGAGACACTCTAAAGTTGTGACTGTAAAGCTACATTACCTGGGTTTGAATCCCATTTGTGCAACCCTTTCAGCCTAATTACCACTGTGGGGTATACAACAGCTTCCCCTGCACGATGGGAGTCATAAGAATACATATCATGGATGTTGAATGGGCAAAATAAAATCAAATAAATCATTAAAAATGTAGAGTAATACCTGGAAATCAATAAGCACTCATTAATGTTTGCTGTCTTACACTGTATCTTGATATTATGATAAAGTCAATCATATTTAAAACACAAAATATGTAAGTAAGTCAAATAGGTTTGATGTTTTAGAAGAAGTATCTGTGGATGAACTGGGGTTATCAAGATTTCATAGAAATATTGTTTGTTGGTAAACCTGTGTCTTCCAATATGGTGGGCTATATGTTCACAGAAACCACTGAGAAGGATGGAGAACATCTAATACACATGGTTTTGACTCCTTCTTCAACCAATAAGAAAGTAAAGAAAGTCTTCCAACTAAATAAAAGAAAAGAAAGTACTAATCTAACGAAATATTAGGGAAGAGCTAGCATTTTCCCAGTAGGGATGTGCTAATCACTGGTGGCCTAATACTGATATTTAATTAACCTGTGTGTGAGAGGTGGAAGAAAAATGTAGTGTTTGAGGTTATTAGAGAATAGTGTGTATGGTTTATTAGAGAAAACACCCCATCCTATGCAAAGTAGGTATTCACAATGGGTTAGAAGCAGAGATCAAGTAGAAAACGTTTACCTCACAGCATGACACAATGACATGCTCAGGTCTCTTAGTGTTAGACTCCTAAAGAAGACAAAAGAAGCAGAGAAAAAGCTACATCAATAATTCTTCACTCCAAATTTGCATTCTTGTAGATATGAAGCCTAAACCATATCCCTACCTTTGTCCACAAACATTTTTATAAACCTAATTAATTTAATAATAATTAGTATTAAAAGTCCCAATGTTTTATTGGATGATTGCCTATGACATTTGATTGTATTAAATCGATTTTGCTAATTTAATGTTGTAAAATTAGGCAGATACATGGAAAAAAAGATTAATCCTTTCTCCTTCTCTTTTTGGAGATAAACATTTCCTTCTCTTATCTTTTGTTCAGAAGATGCCAGCAAGCACGTCTATGGAATGGAATGGAAACATCTCTTCTGTGACTGTATTTATTCTCCTGGGTCTTTCAGATGATAAAGAGCTGCAGCTCATCCTTTTTCCAGTATTCCTAGGGATCTACTTCATCACCCTTATCTGGAACCTGGGTCTCTTCCTTCTAATCTGGATGGATTCACACCTGCACACACCCATGTACTTTTTTCTCAGTTCCCTGTCATTTGTGGACATCTGCTATTCATCTTCCATTAGCCCAAGAATGCTTTCTGATTTCCTAAAACATGAAAAAAATATTTCCTTCATTGCCTGTGCCACTCAGTATTTTTTTGTGGCCTGGATGGGTCTGACTGAGTTCTGTCTGTTGGCCGCCATGGCCTATGACCGATATGTAGCCATTGGTCACCCTCTGCAATACTCAACCATCATGGCCCCTGGACTCTGTGTGAAGATGGTAGCTGGGGCCTATGTGAGTGGGTTTCTTAGTAGCTTATCTGAAACACTCTCCTTTCTGAATCTTTCCTTCTGTGGACCAAATGTCATTCCACATTTCTTCTGTGACTTACCTCAGATAGTTTCTTTGTCTTGCTCTAAGCCCTTAATCAGTCAAACAATTGTCACTCTGGTAGCTGTTATTATTGTTTTGGGAACTTTGCTTATAGTCCTCTTATCCTATGGTTTCATTGTAGCTTCTGTCTTGAAAATATCCTCAGGCAAAGGTAGTGCCAAGGCCTTCAATACCTGTGCCTCCCACTTGGCAGCAGTGACCCTCTACTATGGCACAGACATCTCTGTGTATTTGTGCCCCAAGTCTAGTCAATCCATGAAGCAGGACAAAATAGCATCAGTGTTCTATGTCATCATTATCCCCATGTTAAACCCTCTGATCTACAGTCTGAGGAACAAGGAGATCAAAGCAGCTCTCAACAGGCTTATAGAGAAGGCACTGGGCTTACCTCAGTTAACATAATACTTGGGCAGATATTTATTTTCCTTACAAGGAATAAGGAATTTGAAATGTGTAAATGCCCTTTTGCACGTCACATGGATTGCTAAGTAGTGAGAAGTAAAACTGGCTTCCTTCTTTCTTGGTGCCATCATGTTTAGTGTCATCAGACAGTAATCAGACGAAGTTCTTTAAATACAGTTTATAAAGCCCGTTTCCACAATTGGAACTCAAGTAGGTAAAGGCCTGGAAAGTGACTGTGCTTTGAGCAGAGCACTGCTTGTATTTATGTACCGAAATGACAATTATCTAGGACACCAGGCTTCCTCCTTCAAGGATTATCTCCAGTTCTTTTAATTGGCTTGATATTTATTTTCCAGTGTGATGAAACTAAATAATGTAAAAAAAAAATTCAGAAAAATTAAAAATAGGTTTTATAGGAACACTTTAGAACATTGTTCCCGACCAAGAGAGGACAGATGAGGAGGTCAGGGATTGCGATGTGGCTGGGTTTACTTCCAGAGAAACTTGCTACTTCCATGTTACCTCAATATTAAATGAAAAGAACTGCCCCGTGCAGGATAAAAACAGAAGAGATATGCAGAGTAAGATGGAGGGGACACTTCCAAGGTCAAGGGTTGGAAAGATCCCTGGGTTCTAAAGAGACAGACAAAACCAGCTATTTCTGGGCCCAGTTGGGCCTGAAGTCATCTCTGTGGTTGCACCCTAGATGCTTAGCAAAACCTTCAAGATTATGGCTTTCTTGGTGTGTCTAGGAAGGCAGGCCTTGAGCCTTAGAAGGCTTGATCTTCCACCAATTCTAGGATCTTAGTTTTGAAAAGGAAATATCAGTCATCAGACTTTACGATATTACAGAGTTTCAGAATCCAATGGAAAGAATCTACAGACAATTTTTCAGAAAGGTATTTCTTTCAGACTGAATTTCATAGATCAAGTTTCATACATACTATATTAGCATTAATATAACATATTCCACTTGATATAATTGTATTGAAAAGGTTTTATTGCAAAGGTCTTTTTCAACTCAAATACCTCCAACATCATCAAGAAAATAAAAATCTTACTATCTGTGTGACAACAGGACTGGGGGAAAGGGGATAGCAGGGACATGGTGCAGTGGAACATAAAATCAGCAGAAACAAAATTTCCATTACAACCATGGCATTAGAGATCATCACCTGGAGATGCCTTTCTTTGCCCATCTTCTTTTACCTCTGCCCTTAATGAAGGTGCCTACCAGTGTACATCTTTCTTTACACTAGCCTGTTTCCTGAGTCAACAGAAATATCAGGGCCAGTAGGAACCACACAGAAAATTGCTTTTGAAAAGACATAATCATTCTTTACCTTTGGCTAGAGATATGTGCTCTCCTGATTTGGGTTAAGGGTAGGGGGCAGAACCTAGAAAGATGAGAAAGTCTGCACTATGTTCAATACCTATCTGATTTTCCAATAGGATCTACCTGCAGCAAGGTCAATGGTCTTGAATCTCTCTCATTGTTCGTTTTTCTCACTCACTTGCATAACCTCGATTCTGGACATTTCTTTGATTTTCTTTGTGCTTATCCACATTCTCTTAGAATCTCCACTAGCTTTCTAACCTTCACTGAAAAGAAGAGTCTCTGACGAGGTGTCAGGGCTTAAATTCTGGGTCTGCAATTTCTGATGGATGTGACCTTGAACTCTATTGCTTTCCCTTTTTTCTCCTGTAAAAAAAAGACAAGTGGGTCATTTACAATTAAATGACACAATGCTACTTAAACTTGATGCATTATAAAATCAACCATTTTCAACAGAATGGTTAAAAATTGTTTATAATTTGTATTACTGTAGGCTTCAGGAAGATTGTCTAAATTCAAAATATACAGGTTTATGTCTTTCAATTTTCTCCACCCTTTCAAAAGCAAAAAGAATCAAACTCATTGCCATCAAATTGACGCCCACTCATAGTGCCCCTATAGGACTGGGCAGAACTGCCCCGGTGAGTTTCCATAATTGTAGCTCTTTATGCGAGTAGAAAGCTCAGTCTTTCTCCCATGAAATGGATGATGGTTTCCCGCTGCTGACCAAGGCTAGCTACTCACTCGATCCGTGGGAGAAAGACTGGCTTTTCTACTCCTGTTAAGAGTTACAGTCTCAATAAAAAAAAATAGTTACAGTCTCAGAAACTTTTCACCCTTAGGACCTTTTAGATTTAGTTTTTCTCTTGAAGATTCTATTTTGAAAATAGAAAAAATTTATTTCCATTCAAATATACTCATCAGTTCATCATTTCTGAGTAGCAAGGGACAAAAGTAGTTACTGCATAATGGTTTCATTGTGGTGTGTGAGGTGACATTGACTCAGCTCCAAGTCATCAAGCCCCTGTGGACAACATGAGGAAAACTGCCCTTCCCTGTGCTGCCATCTCAATCGTCATGTTTGAGTCTATAGTTGCATCCACTGTGTCAATTTATTCTGTCAAGGGTCTTCCTCTCTTCCTCTCCACCTATTCTTTACAATCACGATGTCATTTTCCAAGGACTGATCGCTCCTGATAATGTGTCCAAAATATGTGAGAAGAAGTCTCTGCCATCCTCACTCCTAAGGAGTAGTGTGTGTTTCTTCCAAGCCAGATTTGTTTATGTGTTCTTCTGGTAGTTCATGGTACTTTCACATTTTTCAACAGCACTATGTTAAAATTCATGGGTTTTTTTGATCTTCCTTATTCAATGCCCAAATATCACATGTATATGGGGTGATCGAAAATACCAAGATTTAAGCTAAAGTTATGAATATTCAATTTGTAGAAGGCTATGGAGGATGGTCGGAGCCCAAAACCCATCTACAGAGTATCTCGTCAGACGGAGCCTCTGATAGATCCGTTCTTGCCAAAGGCAAGGGTCTCAAACAACCTTACCATCAGGCAGAGACCACTGTAGTCTTGATCATGGTGGATTGAACTCTACATTTGGGGAGTTGACACATCTCCACCTCACCCCCACCTCCACAGACACAAACTGAATTTGTACTACAGGGCAAGTATCTTTTATTTGTTCTATGACAGAAATTTCCACCCTGCCCTTTTGAAGGTTGCCGGGAGTCCTTTCCTTCTTATGCATTATTTGTATTTTTGTCTTTATACTATTATGATTTTAGCCTTACCACCTTTGAACGATTTTGTTTTTTATTGTTTTTTCAGATGTGACGCACAGGAATAGTGGATACATAATAAGAATGACTGGCATGGGAGGGAGTGCAGAGTGGAGACCCAGTGCGCATCCATAAGCAATTGGACATCCCCTCAGAAGGGTCACTAGGTAGCGACAAACCAGTCAGGGTGCAGTATAGCACTGAGGAACATTCAGCTTTTCTCTAGTTCCTTAATGCGTCCTCCCCCACACTATCATGACCTCAATTCTACCTTACAAACTGGATTAGACCAGTACGGGCACACTGCTACAGATAAGAGCCTGAAACAGAGGGAATCCAGGATAGATAAACCCCTCAGGGCCAACAATGAGAATAAAGATACCAGGAGGATTAGGGGAGGGTGGGAGGAGAAAAGAGGAATGGATCACAAGTGGGCGGGCTGGGGAGGAACAGATAAAATGAGCAGCTTATATAGAGAGTTCAATTCAATTGGAAAGAAAATGCTTTGAAAGTGATGATGGCAGCATATGTACAAATGAGCTTGACACAATGGACGATTGTATGGATTGTAATAAGAGATGTAAGAGCTCGCAATAAAATTATTTAATTAAAAAAAGACCTGAAAAATTAATAATTTATGAATTATCAGTGGTTCATGATGGAGGGAAGGTTGGGGGAGGAGGATGAGCTGATACCAAGGGCTCGAGTAGAATGAAAATGATTATGGCAACATGTACAAATGTGCTTGCCACAATGGATGTATGTATGGATTGTTATAAGAGCTGTTATAAGGGATACCAATAAAATGATTTTAAAAAAAGAAGAAGAATGACTGACACAAGGAGTTATAGGGAATGCAGAGGTGGGAGGTGGGCAATAGGAGGGACAGCAGATTGTGGGAGTAAATAATGAAGGCGGTAGTGGGGAGGGAGCACTAGAACTGATGGTGATTGCACAACTCGTGTTAAAGGAGATTCAACCAAGGGGAGGGGTGCTCTAAGATTGATGTGGTGGTGACTGTACTTTGATTGAACATTTGAACTATTGAATTACTGAATTGTATTATATATAAATTATGTGCCAATCAATCTGTTGGAAAAAAATAAAGAAAACACCAAGGCTTAGGTCAGGTACATCTTATTCCTTAAAGTTATATCCTTACGTATTACCACTTTAAAGAAGTCTCGTGCAGCAGATTGACCCAATGCAATGTGTTCAATGATCTTTAGACTTCCATGAGCATGCTTGTGGATCTGAACAAGATGAAATCCCTGACAACTCCACTTCTCATATTACCTAATGGTCTAGAAAAGACTTTTGCATTCTTTATTGTGAACTCTGATAATTCACGTTGAAGACGGCAATTCTTGGTCCTCATCAGCAAGTGCTTCATGTCCTCCCTAAGAAGTACTCATGACCATTCCCTTAGTTCTTTTGCCATAACTTAACCATTTCTTCATTGTCTTTGAAGACTAGCAATCTCAATAAACTAGGAGAACATAGATATCAAATATGCTCATTTCATGTCCAGGGAGTGCAGGCCTAGCCTTGAAATCTCCCTTTATGTATATTGTCCTCTTTCATAAACACTCCTGGATTTCTAAGCATGATTTTCTGCTGAGCATCAACCTGGGAAAGTGAGTGTAGAGCAGTTCTGACTAGTTGGATCTGCCTAGTAAGAATTCCATTATTAAAAATCGTCAACTTTTCTTCTCCAAATTTGGGAATGATGAGTCACACAAAGAAATACATCAAACAAAGTGCATGCATTCAGTTTTGTTTTTTTCTTCTTGCTTACAAAATTAAAAACAATCCGAATATATTTTACCATGGATAAGTGAAACAATTAACCACTCAATGTTTCCGGACAAT